TTCATCCCTGAAAGAGTGACCTCTGACCTGGAGATGAGTGTAGACCTGTATAAGAGGCAGACCGAAAAATCCATCATCATCATCATCATAAAGACAGATTAAGATAATCTGCAGATCAAATTTAGACTTTACTTGAGGTCCTCACAAACATGATTTCTTTTTTCTTTTATTCAACTTAAAGCTTCACAAACCAGTTATAGTAATCCATCTCCATGTTTTACATTTATAGTCCACTTGATGGCGCAGTAGAGCAAATGAAGCAGATGGCGTGTTGGATCATGAGTCAATGGAAAGTGTCAGAGCTTCATGAAGCTTCATCTCACATCACTCTTTCATTCTGTTGTTACCGTTCCTAAGACTGTGTTGTTGTATTTGCATATTGTCCAGGACATCCTTGTAAAAGAGACTGATGATCTCAGTGGATTGGTTCCTGGTAAAATAAAGGTATAAAAATGTCCGTTGGGGAATTGGAGGGAACGTTGGGTGGAGCAGGTGCACAGGTGCACGGCATGAGCTTGGTTAGGCAGAGGTGCAGAGTCAGTGTGACTGGAGGCTTGAGCTCAGACCATGACACGGCAGAAAACATGACACAAATAATCAATATGTGACTTAGACATTCTGAGTGTTCTGGAATTGGGTTTGCTTCAAAACTAAATCACTTGTACATGTACATTCAATTTTTATAACCTAAAAATTTAATTAAAACCTTTTCAGAGTTCATGAGATATGTTGCTAACATTTATTCTATATTACCAAGATAACCCCAGCTCCATGATATTTAGTTAATAAATTCATTTCAATAAAAATTCTCGAAGGTGTGTTAGGAGTGCGCGGGGAACCCAGATGATACGAGACCCAGAACGAGGCAGACACAGGGAAAATACAAAAGAACAGTGTTGATTATGTACAGTGAATTTAAAGCGTCCACAAGCTGCTTCTCAGAGGCTCCTGGAAAGAGGGACGACAGGTTTAATAGTTGTCCAACAGGGAAGGCCAGAGTGGTTTGTTTGATGAGCGTTTGTTCTTACAGTCCAAAGCCCGAGGAGGTGAGCTGGTCCTTCAGGGAGAGCGAGCAGCAGAGGGAAATCCAACAAGGGTCCAAAGGGGAACGAGGAAGGCTGGCACTGGAGGCAAAGAGGCACGAGGGATACCTGACAGGCCGAGGGATCCAGGTCAGGTCACGAGGGAATCCAAAAAGCACGAGGAACCAGGAAACTGGAAAAAAAGAGCAAAGGTGAACAAATTCTTTTCACCAAGACATTTGCCTCACAACAGTACTAAACCATAAGAGGTGATATGCTCCAGCGATGAGTCACACCGGACTGCAGCCTTAAGTAGATGGAGAGGCTCATCAGGCTGATGGCCGCCAGGTGTTGGTAATCAGCAGCCATCAGCAAGGCAGGCTGCAGGCAGTGGGACCCTTACAATGTGGTAGTTCCTAAATGAATGTTGGGGATTAATCTCAGCTCCCACATCTAATCTTTGCTTAATAAAACTAAGTTAGAATTAATTAGAATCTTAGACCCTTAACCCTAACCCTTAGAATCTAGCTGTTTTTTTGTTACCTTTTCCTTTTAGCCATCCTATTTGTAAAACAAACAAAAAAAAAACTGCAGTATGACTTTTTATAATTGTTGTTGCTGTTGTCCATTGTTGTCATCTTTCTTTGATGAAATCAAGTCTCTCTAGTAAATGAGTCCTCGGAGCTCAATGGGATTTACCTGTAGAAATAAAGGTTGAATGAAGTTATAAACATTGATCTTTTGAAGCTCAGTTGGCTTTGGCAGTCTTTTTGGACTGAGCTGAATCCAAAACTTCATCAATTATAGATGTCCATCCAAGGATTTATGACTTTCTGTAAGTTTCATTAAAATGTGTTTTGTGGGTTATGAGTTGTTTTTGCTCATGCACAGAAACTGCTGCTGTTCGTTGTATTGTTTTTGTTCTTTTAGTGCTTAGTCTATTTATACTGTAGTTTAACGTATTTCACACAGACCAGTATTTGCAGTTTAACTCCCATCACTTTTTAGAGCACAAGTTAGGAGTCATCAGGACTCTGTACCACAGAGCAGACAGCGTCCCCACTAACTCAGGAGCCAGGCAGAAGGAGAAATCCCACACAAGACAGGCTCTAGAGCAATGTGGATATCCTAACTGGGCCTTCCTGAAAGCAGAGAAGAAACCCAAACAGGACTCCAGTCAGCCATCAGGTGAAAAGGAGGAACCCAGACCCAGACCAGTGGTCATTCCGTATGTTGAGGGAGTATCAGAGAAACTGAGACGTTTATTTTCTAAACATAACGTCCCAGTGGCTTTTAAACCCCAAAATACATTAAAGACTGGTTCATCCCAAAGATCCAGTCCCCCGGCACAAACAGAGTAATGTTGTGTATGCTGTTCAGTGTCAGGAGGGTGATCAGTCTTACATCGGGGAAACTAAACAGCCACTGGCCAAAAGGATGGACCAGCACAGAAGATCAACATCATCAGGCCAGGACTCTGAGGTCTACACTCATCTCCAGGCCAGCGGTCACTCTTTCAGGGATGAAGATGTTCACATCCTGGACAGAGAGGAACGATGGTTTGAGAGAGGAGTAAAGGAGGCCATCTTTGTGAAAAGAAACCGTCCATCATTAAACAGGGGCGGAGCCTCCAGGTTCAACTGTCCCCCTCTTACAATGCTGTGATTGCT